GCTCTTTTTCTACAGGAGGTTATGGGGTGTTGACTAGTGGTTACATAACACCAGAAAGCCAAGTCCGAATCCAAGTCATTATTTCATGGTACGTCTTGTATGTGGGAAACGAATATCGCAATGAGCTGAATATGGCTAAACGTTGGATTAACCTGATAACTCACTCATTTATTCAATTTTCTTTATATACTTTCCACAATCATCTGTGATCACAAATCATATATATAGATATATACCCATCAGAAGGTATATCTCAATTCATCAAAATGTCCATACATATATGTCCTCATATGTATGTGTTAAGCAACTCTCGCACTCTTCCTTGAAGATAAACGCTAAGCACTTTTTTTCTGTATAAATTGATATATAGAGGTTATCACGCGAGTGTGTTTGGGGATGGTGAATATCCTGCATTAGGAATAAACATTGTATTTAGCGAGCCTTGGCGAGCTAAATACATAGTGTTTATTCCTAATACAGGATATTTACCATCCCCAAACACACAAGCGTGATAACCTCTTTATCATATAATGTCATTCTTTAATTCTGTGCTTCAAAATCGCTTTCCCTCACTCACAAACATTACCGAAACATTGCGAGTTTTCCTGGAATGCGCGCATTAATATTTATTACGTCACAGGGTGAGTGATGTGTCAGTCGGACAGTGAAAGTAGCCAATATAGTTCCAAATGAAATATGTTTCTTACACAGTGGCCAAGCAACATATAGGCAAAACAACAATTGTTTTTAATTGTCTGTCGCGGCAATCCATCGGTCTGTCCGCTAGAGTAACTGCCCTTTGTCAAAGGGAAACTACTCTAACCCTAGTCTATGAGACGTCACGGCCACGGTCAGATGTTGTTGACAGTCGGTCTGTCCTGTCATAACGATAAGAAGTGTTGTCAGATGTACACACAGCGACAAAACGAAACAAGGTAACAATTCAAACATATTTCCGCCAAATCCAACTAATTTGTGGAGGAGGTTTCACGCCGCAGCGGTCTACAAGCACAGATATTATCTACTGATCCCGCTTGGCTAGGTCTCGTGCCCTCGCCAAATTGTTTCGAAATGTATATCTCCAAAGTTGCCAAAACTTATAAAATGCCTTAGCTACGTCACAGTTAGACACAGATTTTCAGTATATTAGACTGTTCTTTTGATAATGATAGCAATTATCCCTGTAGTTTATCCAGATTCCCGATGGTTAATTCTGACTCGATCGCCGAATGACGAGTGCGACGCCGTGTTTGTTTATAAACAGTGAAAGTAGTCCCTACGTGACCTTTGATATTTGCATCTTTATCCTCATATGACCCCAACGGATATCGTTTTTATCCGTTGGCTTTATCCTGCCGAGAAACCTACCCATTATATGATAAATGTAAATATCCTTTTAATGTCAACACTGTTGCAGTGAACGTACAGCAGACTTAATGCAAGCCTAATATCTAATCTCTAAAATGAATATTTTTTACAAAAAATAACAGTTGTTAAATAATAGTTATAAGATATAACAAAGAGGAGTCAAGAGACTTTCTTCATTTTGCCAAATATTGGGCAGTTTTGAATATATATTTTTCAGGCCTGTATGACAGATTTACCTGATGCGTTTGCGTCTAATGACTGAGTCAAGCTAGTTGAACAAGAATCTTCATTATAACGTTTTCTTTTGATTGTCAACTTTTAAACAATGTTCTGAGCAAAAATATGGATCAACGTACATCGAAATGTGCCGACATATATACATGTCCTCTCATACATGTACATGGGATGAGTCAGCTATGTTAATACTTCAATGAAATTAGCAGGGTCTTTTATTCAGAAATGATCAAATCATCAATTTAAAGATATTAAGTAAGTATAGCTGTTGTATGCATTCAACCATGTTCGTCAATAATGCAACCTTGTATAAATATATATTGAAAGATGAGTGTTATCAGTGTTTTTAATGATAGTACCGCAGGAAAGCATGACACTTTAATACACATATCAACCTAACAGTTATTAAATAAGAGCAACATGTACATAAAGAGTAAAGGTTTGGTGCGTATATATCCCACATTACTTTCATAATGTGTGCATGTTCTGTTTATCGGGACTCCTGTAACCGGAAATAAATGTCATAAGACGATTCATACGGGTAAATAGAGGTAAGCACGCGAATAAACATTGTATTTAGCGAGCCTTGGCGAGCTAATTATACTCACACGCAAAAGAAACGCAAGTGGTTTGAAGCAAATAGGTAACAAACATGGAACCATAAATTGATACGAGTTTTAGCATGTAGTGAAGCCTGATGGTGTTATCAATATTTTTGGTTGCATTTAGGAAGCCCCGAGTAAAAATGCAACATAAAAAGGAAATCGCCAAAACGCACCATTTAAATGAATATGTGGGTATCATGCACCCATTTCTCGCGAAATCGAAAATGCATGAACTGTATTGGGTATAAAACCGATTCTTGGATCTGCCACTCCTTGGTCAACAATGCCACGCCTAACTCAAATTCAGAGAAAACAGGCTATCGGACGTTTGGAAGTTGGAGAGTCTGTCCAAGATGTTTCCCGCGGCCGTATATCATCGTTAACACAACCACAATTTACCGTCTCCTGCATCGATATAATGCTACACAGACCACAGATGACCTTCCTCGGAGCGGTCGTCCTAGGGTCACGACACCTCGACAAGATCCGAAGATTACCCGTCAACACCAACGACATCCGTTCCTAAATGCAAGTGAAAGTGCTCGAAGGAACACAGGAACACATAAACGACACATAAGCCGGGACACTGTGATCCGACGTCTCCGTCGCAACAACCTCAGATGTCGCCGACCAGCCCATCCTCCTGTTCTCCAACCACGGCATCGACACGCACGACTTCAGTGGGCACAGGGTCATCACAACTGGCGTCATCGTGAGTGGAGGCGTGCCATCTTCTCTGATGAAAGTCGCTTTTGTGCCATGCAGACGGAAGAGTCAGAATTTGGCAGCGTCAAGGTGATCGTTTCGCTGACAGAAACGTTGTGGAAAGGGATCCATGAGGTGGAGCAAGCGTCATGATATGGGCAGGGATTGGACTTAATGCGAGACTTGGACCATGTGCTTTCTGAATGTTGGTCAAGGTCGGGGACACGGCGTCACTGCTCAGCGGTATATCGACCAAGTGATCAGACCCCACGTTGTTCCATTTTTTACACAACATCAACAAAACATTTTCCAGCAGGACTATGCTCGTCCCCATGTTGCCAAAGCCTTTCTGCAACAACACAACATCCGTGTTCTACCATGGCCAGCCATCAGCCCTGATCTGAGCCCCATCGAACACGTGTGGGATGAGGTTCAAAGGCGTCTGCACAATGTGCGCCCAGTCCCTAAACTGCCAATGAACTACGCATAGCTGCTCTGGGTGTGTGCAGGAGGATCCCTAGGGCCTTCACAAATCGTCTGATCCACCCAATGTACAGGAGATGTGTGGTAGTCAGCAATTCTTATGGTGGTCACACCAGGTATTGACTGACATTTTGGACATTGACCCGAAATTGTGTAAGCCCTTAACATTTGAAAAAACAACAATTATGCCATCTGCCTTTTAATCCATTAAACTGTCTTCAGTCAACTTTTTGTCAATCTTGGCCAACTGGTATTTCTTGTCTTTACTGTTGAAAATATAAAACATGTATACTGAATACTCGACTTCTTTTGCGTGTCAGTATATATACTGTTTATTCCTAATGCAGAATATTTACCATCCCCACACATAATCGTGACGATCTCTTTATCATATAATGTCATTATTTAATTCTGTGCTTAAAAATCGCTCTCTCTCTCTCACAAACATTACCAAAACATTGCAAGTTTTCCTGTAATGCGCGCGTTAATATTTATTACGTCACAGGGTCAGTGATGCGTCAGTCGGACAGTGATAGTAGCCAATATAGTTCCAACTGAAATCTGTTTCATATACAGTAGCGAAGTATCCGTTGGCTCTGTTATAAGGTTAAAAAGGCATCTCAGAAACGAATGATGATAAATAGAACCCATTAGATATAGTTCGTGACAGAACTTGTAATTGGAAAGGAATCAATAGAGAAAGACATTTCACATTTATCATTGGATTGGTCTCTGGCTATTATCCATGAGTTAATGAAACAAATGGGGAATTACAAGGTATAATCCATTTGGAGCTTCGGAACGAGTCACGAAATCAATAGAGAGATGAGCAATCTGGCACGTAGGTTTTTGGTATTTTTCCGATGGTGACACACATGAGTTCATGGTCAGATATAAACTTGTAACGAATCAAATGGAGATATTGAGACATGTGACAAGTACAGGTCAGGCTCGAACACTATAAAATGATACCCTCAACATTAGGAGAGTGGTGCGCGGTTTACAGTCGATCGAGTCGAATCCCGATCGTTCCAAGTTTCCACCAGCTAGTGACGAGCCTGGCCAGTCTGATCCTGTCCTGTATTGATAGATGGGCTGAGAGTAAGTAAAACTATGTGAGTATAAAACTGGTGTTGCGTTTCTTTATTATGCGGGTGTGAATGCTGATAGAGACAACTTGGAGTAAGGGTCATTAGGCCAATAACTCCTTGACGGAGCCGAGCCGTGGTGGACAAGGCGAGGGCAATGTCCTTGCTTAATTGACCACAAGGACCAGGAACGGCAATACATTTAGTAACTGTAGCAGGGTCGCGCTGGACCCCCGAAGCCAGTTACGACATGGTGGAGTATGCGGGTTTTCTCTTGAACAAAATGTTTAAGACGATCCCATTCTTTGTTTTTCGTATTGTCGTTCCCATCCTTCAATTCCGTCTTCCCACCCTGACTTATTTTTGAAGGTACGGTTTCACCTTTGACGCATGGATAGGGTATTCTGTCTGGTAATGTCTGGTAATGTCTCATACACTGAATTCTGCATCTACGTCAAGTGACCGTCTTGCCCCCACTCGCCTCCTTACTGGTACGATTTTCTCGAATTCCCCCGAGTTGTCATAACTCAACCGCCCTCCCAATCACCCCCACCGCCCCCTCCTCCCCAGGAACCCTCCTCGCCCACTATTTCTGACCATAGTTTGGACTTATCACCTTCTCCCGACGAGCTTTTACATCGGTACGCTTGTGTTCTCCCTGACGTTTATTCACTAAGTTCGTCCTCAGGCCCCGAGGCACAAAATCCAACCCCTGACTTCAATATGGGAGATTCGACCTTGATGCCAGAACATTTCACTGGTAGAGACACGACCCATGCTGCTGAATGGCTTGACCGTTTTCTTCATTTTGGAAACTTTAAAAAGTGGACTGACGCACAGAAAGTAGAAGTTTTCCCACTATTTTTGAAGGACTCGGCGTATCTCTGGTATAAAGATCTTATACCATCGCTAGGGGAAGAAATCATCATTTTCGATGAGGTAGAGAGATTATTCAGGGACAAGTACGTCCACCCAACTGACCGGTGGGCCCTTCTAGAATTTTTCGTGAGTCGTAGGTTATCCCCAACTGAGCCTATAGACACGTATTTAGCGGATTTGACCCAAACAGCTAGCCTATTAGGTAAGACTGACATGGACTTGATGGATGCATTTGTTCGGGGACTGGATGACGGTACGAGGCAACACGTGCTAATGAAACAGCCGACGGCTCTGAACGAAGCTGTTTCGTTTGCACGTTTGGCTCGATCCATAATCCCTCAAATTGCAGAAAATACAGGTGTCAAGTTGGCAATCGATACTCTGAGAGACCAGATTGCTACACTCGCGGCAAAGCTCGCACCATCGTCGTCCCAGGTTAATACCTTCCAGTCACGACAGAATCGATATTCCCAACCCCCCAGACAGTCCTCTAGGTATACAACTCGGCCGTGGCAGCCTCCCCGACAGCAGTTCCAGCCACTCTCGTATCCGGACGGACCACACCAGCAGAGAAGCCAGCCCCCTCCTCAACGCACACAGTACAACACGGGACGGACCATGGCTCGGGCACGCCCCTGTTACAGATGCGGTGGTGAGTATGATTTCTCTCACCCTGATAGATGTCCCGCACGTAATGCAAGGTGTCATTATTGTCAGAGAGTAGGACATTGGCAACGTGTTTGTAATGCCCGGTTGCAGTCCAGAGCTACTCAAAGCAGATAGCAATTAAGTTCACGACCACGCAGGCCACCTTGCCACTGTGCTGCGCATGTTTTTGACCCCACTAATTTGCACTCGCGTGAGTCGCCAGTTACTATTTTACCAAGTTACAGTCGTCCTCAATCGCCTGTTTTACAAGTCACTTCAAAAAATGACAACAAGCATAGGATTTATGTTATTTTGGGTGAACAATTAGTTTCTACAATTGTGGATTTTATGACTCGGGTCTGTGGAAAGAAATCCCCATTCAAAAGTCTGATGTGACCTCTCTTCAGGGAATAGGTCAAAATGTTGTGCCAGTATTAGGACAAGTTTTCCTTCCCATCATTATTGGTGATTCCCACATGGAACAACGCTTTCAAATAGTTGCAGAGTTAACGTCACCATTGTTTTTTAGGATTAGATTTTCTGATTCAGAAAGATGCTGTCTTAAATTTCCAGTCTTGTACTTTGTCGCTTCATAATGGCTCCACAGTTGTTCCAATTTGGGCAAACAATGATATCCCACCCCTCGTATCGGATCCCCATCCACAGATGGTAGAGCAGGAACCCATCCCAGTTCGAGCACTGCAGGCATTCACAATTCCCCCTCAGTCTGAAACCATTTTCCCATTTTACATGGGTTGCTTTCCCGTCTGATCAGGTAGGCATATGTGAACCTAACCCAGTCCTATCGGAAACACATCAGGTTTTAGGTGCTCGTTGTCTTGTTTCGGCAAGTTCAGGGAAAAGCGTGTACCAAATCATTAACACTAACGATTTTGCTGTGGACATTCCAAAAGGTCATGAAGTTGCTCATTTCACTTTGGTACACTGCGATGAAATTACGCCTCTACAGTCACATTCCCCCTCCGAATCGGAACCCTCCCTCTCTCAGTCAGAAATAGACGCGAGATTACGTGAGTTGAATATTGATTTTTCTTCATCCCACTTGTCACAGGAGCAACAAGCACAAATAGGTCAGTTGATAGCCATCTCTCAGAAATTGGGTTAAATGATTCAGTGCAACATGATATTGCTACAGGATCGTCAAGTTCAGGAGTTGGTAGACTTAGGCATATGTGAACCAGATCATGATAGCCCCTGGGCTTCTCCAGTTGTTATGGTGCCTAAGAAACAGGCTAAGGGTTCTCCTCCATCATGGCGTCTAGCCATCGACTACAGAGTTGTGAATTCGTGCTCATTGCCGATAGTATTCCCAATGCCGAGATTAGAAGATGTTCTTGATGTTTTGGGCACAGCACATGCAAAATATTACACAACCATAGATCTGGCAGAGGGATATTGGCAATTAGCGCTGAATGAAGAAAGTAAACCCAAAAGTGCATTTGTGACAGCTAGTGGTACCTATCACTTCAATCGTATGGCCTTTGGTCTGGCCTCTGCCCCAGCAACATTTCAAAGACTGATCAATGACGTTTTCCGCAATCTAAATTGGCGTAAAACAATGTGCTATTTAGATGATGATTTGTGCTTCTCCTCGGATTTTGAGGCACATTTAGCAGATTTAGAAGAAGTATTTTTGTGCCTACGCAACGCAAATTTGAAAGCGAAGCCATCAAAATGCCAATTTGCTAAACTGCCACTTGCTTACTTGGGACATATTTTTTCAAATATAGTGGAGTACACGTAGACCCTGAAAAAACTAGCGTGATAGCTTCGTTTCCGACGCCCAAAACGCCAAAAGACGTTAAAAGTTTTCTCGGAATGGTAGGATTTTATCGTCGCTTCATTCTAAGTTTCTCCAAAGTAGCAGCTCCTTTACATTCATTGTTGCAAAAGGATACTAAATTTGTTTGGACGGAAGCACAAGAACAGGCAACCTCAAACCCTCAAATCTGCTTTGCTAAAACCACCAATCTTAGCATTCCCAGATTTTGAAAAACCATTTATCCTATACATAGATGCTAGTGATGACGCTCTAGGGTATTTGCTCGGTCAAAAGGATGCCGAAAACAGAGACGTGGTAATAGCCTACAGTGGTCGTGCTCTGTCAAAAACAGAGAAAAACTATGGAATTACAGAAAAAGAATGTTTAGCAGTAGTATCAGGTATCAAACATTTCAATGTATATTTGACACATGCCCCATTTACTGTAGTGACAGATTACAGAGCTTTACAGTATTTGAAAGAGCATAAGGACCGCTCAGCCAGACTGAGCCGCTGGTCACTCTTTTTGAGTGATTACACGTTCACGGTTCAGTATTGACCAGGCAAAAACTTGGGTAACGCAGATTTCTTGTCCAGATTGTCTTACCCAGAATGCCCACAAGAGTTAGATGACCCACTTTCAGATATCCCCTATTTGTTTGCTACTGATACGAACAGTACAGACAATGATATCGCCACGTCCGATGACCAAGGCGACCAAATAACGATTGTGCCTGCAACAGACGTTACATCAGAGTCGTATGATGCCTCCACAATTGACGACCCTCTCAGTGTATCGTCCGACCCCCTAGGAGATTACTCCATAGCACAGAGGCAATATGACGACCATAAACTACGGGCGCTGATTGATTGCATTAAGTCTCAAACCTTTTCTACTGATGACAAGGACACACGTACATTATTGTTACAAAGCCAGGATTTTATCCTTGACAATGACATATTGTACCACTTATATGCGCCGCCCGGCCGGGGCCACAGGAACGACATAATCATTCGTCAACTGGTGATACCTCAGTCGTTGGTACAACATGTTTTACAAGCATACCATGACAGCTTGTTAGCTGGACATGTTGGTATTGACAGAACATTCAATGCTATTAGACAGAAGTACTATTGGCATCACATGCTGGAGGACATAAAGCAGTATATTTTGTCATGTACTGCCTGTCAAACAAATAAACGTGACTTTCACAAGAGACCTGCCCCATTACAACCATTACCAGTCCCTGGTAAATTGTTTGATCGTGTTCAAGCTGACTTCCTAGGGCCCTTACCACCCACAAAAGCAGGTCATAGGTATGTTTTTTTGTTAACTTGCGCCTTTTCCCGATGGAGCGTGGCTATTCCGATTTCCTCGTTGGAGGCTGTGGAAATAGCCAAGACATTCTACTCAAAATACATTTGTGTTTATGGGATTCCCAGAGTGTTATTGACTGATAATGGCACTTCCTTTACCAGCAAACTTTTTACGGCGGTGTGTTCAATATTGGGGATCAAACCATTGAAAACTAGTAGTTATCACCAACAAACTAACGGAGCTTGTGAAAGACTAAATTCGTTTATCGTGCAAACGCTCCGCATGTTTATCAATGATAACCAGGACAATTGGGATGAGCTTCTCCCTAGTGTGATGTTTGCCTATAACACTAGCCCGGCAACACAGAGTACTGGATTTTCCCCCTACTTTCTCCTGTTTGGTCAAGAATGCTCCGTACCCGTTGATGTTGAATTACAATCATTTGAACCCCTCCCACAAACAATTAAGCAACGTCATATAGACGTTACTAGAAAATTGGCGCGTACCAATTTACAAGAGGCTCACAACAAAGCCAAATATTACTATGACAGGAACACCTCAAATCCCATTTTCCAGCTCGGTGATAAGGTATGGCTTAATTCCAAGGCACGTGCTGTTGGGAAATGTAAAAAGCTAGGCCAGATATTCCAAGGACCTTTTTACATTGCGGATGAACTGCAACATTTCATCTATAAGTTACGCCGTTGTAATGATCACAAAGTCCTGAAAGTTCCGGTCCACGCGAACCGGCTTGTTTGTCAACCCGAAAGATAGACCAACTAACCCAATTCCAGTTGTTGCTACGGGCAACCAAACGATTCTGTCTCAATCTGACAACAATCATACGGAAATGACCACCCCGACGCCTCAGACATTAACCCCCAAGCAGGCACAGAATCCCGGTTTTGATTTACAGGAGGATGACGTTTTCATAGTGAAACGAATCTTGGCGCATAAAATAGTGAATGGAGAAAAGTACTACAAGATTCACTGTGAAAATTTCACTTTACAGGAAGCTACATGGGAACCCGAATCTAATATCCCTCAAGGATTGATTCGTGATTACATGATCCAGAAGTCATTAAAAAAGAAGCGAAAACGTTAGAATATATCTGAATATAGTTGTCGAATAGTGTTTCAGATTAATTGTTATATTTCGTTTCCTTTTCAGTTACCGCACTGCACATTTCATATTGGAGACGTCTAATATTGATTTTTGCATGTGTTTTATTTCAGGTTTAGAATTACATGAGGCTATATGCATGGAGCACGGCTCATACCGATACATGCTATAGATCATTTACTACGGTGTTAAGATGATTCAATTGTCACAAGGTTATAGGAAAATACAAACGTGCATATCTGTTGAAAATGTCTATTGTAACTGTCAAATATTGTGTGTTGAATACTCCGAATACTCGGATTATTTACAGAGATGTGTTGGTTGACATTGAAGAAAATGAATCATGTTCATGGGTTATGGCCGCAGATGTATTTCGCGGGCCACGAGAATACAAATGAGTTACAATATATGAGACATGACGACTACGGGTCGCATGGTTATATACTCCTTCTACGAGATGATTCTGGCTGCACATGTATTTCGCAGGGCACTATAAAGCAAGTTCGCTTTGTGTGTATATATACGAGAAAACAAATGAGTTACAATATACGTCAAATGACAGCCACAGGTCGCATGGTTATACAATACGGTTACAAATACAGTGAAGTGATATACGATGATGAGAATTGAGATACAGTCATGTGAACTGAATACCGTCATGTGACGTGGAATACAAAAACGAGACAATAAATAATGTTGTGATGATATATGTTGATACTGTAAAAGAAGTTCACTATTGTTGGATGTTGCTTACTCGCACGATTCCCAGTGTGAGATTATATATTACCTACTTGTGACAATTGTTATCATGCTTCTTAGATACAGTCAGCGAGTGAAGATTCGAGATGAATACAGTCAGACAGTTACTAGGTTTCACAAGACATGGAAACCTTTTCTTACAAAACATGAGTGATCTATGATATTTAGTTTGAAGTTAATAATTATGTTTATACACTTATTTCTTTGAATTTTAGAATCCAGAGGCCTCCTCCGACCAGTATGGGTCTTATTCATTGTCATCGCGTTGGTTAGCATCCAGAATCGGGTTAATTCCGTGCATACGGAACTCCGACTTCCATGGGGAGTTGTCTTCGTACATATGTCCCGAATCGACATTTCCCAGAATAAATGGATTCATATCTTTCAATATAAATTGCCTGATTTAGATGGAATGGGCAATAGATCAAGATATCGAGACTTTTGTTCCACATATACATTGGCCTGTTATACCGTTTCGGCGATGGATGGATATATAGAAAAGGCCGAACGAGAGTTGTTCGCGTATTGGACAAATGTCCATAAAGACATTAACCTGTTAATTCCCCATATTAACATTTTTCACAAGGATTCCCGCACTAAACGAGCGATACGTCCTTTTATGGGATTTTTATGTCGTTCGCTGTTTGGTACTGCTACAGTCGAGGATGTTGAACGACTGGCGCGGTATGTTAAACAATTGTCGTTGCATGCTGCTAATACTTCTCGTGCTTTGCAAGTCCAAGTTCGTCAGATGTCGTCATTTATAACTAAAACAAATGAACGCATTTCATCCGCTCTCGCGGGTATTGAAACGAACCATAAAGATATTATACTTGTCACTAAACAAAACAAGATGTGGAGAGATTTATTTTTATCACAATGAAAATCTTGTTAGATCGCCTCACGTTCCTAACTACTATTAGACAAGAAATTAATGAAATGTATTTAGGCATTCAACAGTTAGTTAATCAACGATTGAGTCCATCTTTACTCCCAGTTTCGGAAGTAAAGAGAGCGTTAAAAATGATTCAAAAACGTCTCAATGCAGAATACCCGTTGTTTCACGTTGCACATAAGGATCCAGGTTATTATTATCGGGAACGCACTGTTCACTGTTCTCGGAATTCAGATTCAATTTTAATTTCGCTTATTGTTCCTATCCAGACTCATTCTACCCTCCTTGATGTATATCGAATAAATTCTTTTGGCTTACCATTTAATCAATCAAGTACGCATGTCACTCAGGTTATGAATTTACCAGATTATCTTGCTGTTTCGGAGGCTAAAGATCAGTATATTGAATTTTCGGCTAGGGATTTTCAAACATGTTATGGTGAACACGAAAAACACTGTCCAATTTTTCACAGTCCGAAACCAACAACATCGCTCACATGCGCACTTGCTTTGTTTACTAAAGACACACAAGAAATTAAATCCTTGTGTGATATAAAATTCCGATTAAATGGGCTACGTTCAATGGCTCTCGAAATTCAACCAGGCACAATTCTTTTAACTGGCATAAAAACCATAATATTAACGTGCAAGGGTCGCATTGAGAAGCCTCCAGCTTGTCAGATTTGTATATTTAAAATTCCTTGTTACTGTGCGTTGAAACTGGATGAATTCGACATAGACATGAGAATTCATACATGTGTGAAAAAGTCAACTGCTTCAAAATTATACCCACCTAATCTTTTACTTTTATGGGAATTTTTTAATGCATCCATCTTGAAAAACATTGATAGTTTACAGCCCCTTCTGAAAGATTCCGCTTTTAAGATCCCACATTTATTAATTGATGATAAAGTTTTCGATGAAATTCGTAGAAAGGACACAGAATTTCAAGTTGATTTACGCCTTATTTCTCAACGTATGAAAAAGGCACAGGTCATTTCGGATAATTTAATTGATGGTAATTGGATGGATTCCCTCCCACCTTACGCTTTAGATGGGGATTTAACCAACCCATATCACTTAACGGCAAGCATAGCCGCGGGTTTATCCCTGTTTCTCTTAATAGTCGTTCTTTTCTTATGGATTAAAGTTTGACGCTTATTTTTTGCATTGACCTTACTTACAGCAGGCTCCCCAACTGACGGTTTGACAATTTGGAAAACACATCAAACTACCCCCTATCCAAATTATCCCCCTCCTTCATTTATGTCGTTGATTAAATCCACTATTTCCATGGATGTTTTTCTGATCATATCGACAGTATTTCTGGTATTCATTTTGCTTTTTCGAAGAATAATAAAAGTCAATCGACCGGTTACGTCACTGGTTTTACATTTGACAAATTCCTTTGCTTGTGATGAAATTATGGTCTCACAATTTTATCTTTGTCCCCGAGACCTCACGTTAACCGCTGGACATCCTTTAACTAATGTTCGTATTCAGCGGGTATTCCTCACTTATTATTTACTGTTTGATTGTCACAATTTGCAAATTCAAACCCCGACACAATCTATATATATTTCGGGAAAAATTTATGTAAGTTGGCTAATGGCGTTTCGTTTAAAACGATTCCTTCCTTCCACGACAGGTGTGTTTATGGTACTTCAACATTGTGGAGTCGCTTTTCCGTTACCTCTGACATGATTAATTTTGAGATCAGTTCCTCTGAGGTTTCTTTAAGCCCTGTTGATCTCTCCACTTTGGCCGGCTGCCTTGAAATAATGATAATGGTTTCGTTGCCCAAATAGGATATTATGGCACGTATTACTTCATAATTTATTGTCTTTGTTATATCCCAGCCTTTTAACGACGGGCCACTTGTCACCCTCAGCATCATAGTCGGTAGGGTATGCTAGTATTTAAGGCCCCTACAACCCCACAATCGACCCCACTCTCGTCGCTTCTTTCATTGGTATCGGTGAGACGTTGTTTTTTCACTTTTGTCTATCACATTGTACAGGGTGTCTTTGTGCTATTTGGCTCATTCCCTTGTAAAGGATTTTATTGTTGAGATACAGTTAGGCTCCATCTTTGAAATTTTTGCTATTTCTTCTCTTACTCCTCTCTCCGTGTTAAACTTTTTGATCATGGATGCCCTCTATAACACCACCTATTTCCAATGGTTAGCTTATGATAAGGTCTTGGTGGTTGACCAGCCACTGGCGGACACCATACGAGGCGATTCGGCTCGTATAGCTGAAGGTCCGCGCTCCTACACGACTATCAGCTGTCCGAGATTTTTACGTGCACTTCCATTTTGGAGGTTAGTTTTGTACTTGGCAGGATTATTACCCTGCCTAATTGACCTTCGACAAATGGACGACGCATCGTTGGAACAGGTGACAATATTGGCGGAGTATTTCCGTTCACAAGGCCTGTTCCTTACCTGTGCGCAGACTGCCTTATCAAGAACGGCCCCCTTTAGCATCATGGAATTATGGATAACGCGGGCCAACCTTAACTTGCCAATACAACTCACAGCGTCTGTCAAATGTTTTGACTTTTTGGAAATAGAGTATGGGCTGCCGTCGTGTCGAATTGTGCACCATACGCCTATTTCGTCCACGTTTAATGCCCCATTAGTGGCCCAGGTGGTATCTCAGACACGGAGCAGATACCAAAGGTGGTTACGACAGCCGCTGTGTGTCTACTGCAAGACGCCAGTTGTTTTTTAACTCGAGTTGACTGTACGGATCGTCGCGTTGCCATGTTGCTTTGCAACAATCCATAGATCGTACTCTCTCCGTTTTAGGTCGTTACCTAGATTCTCGCTAAACGTCCCCGAGGTCTTTTGTCCGGCGTGCGGTGCCCCTTACCTGAGAGGGCGACTTGCCCTTCAGGAGACCGAAACGGCGTCGCTTCCTCTGTTGGAAGGCTGTCTACGTCGCCATCAAATTTACCGGCGGTCTTCTAGTGCTCCATTACATAACTTACAGCGTTTCCCAGACGAGAGGCGTTCCTCTCCTCCACTAGTTGCCGCACGGCCCCTATCACCAAGCCGCATCGACTCGCCCAGCAGTGGGTCATCATCCTCTTTTGATCCCGACATGCCTCGGTTAGAAATAGCGTGGTCGGATGTCGAGTAAGGTTAATTTAACCGTTACTTCGACTTCACTACTTGTCCACTATCATTTCTCTTCTTCTGTCCGCCTCACCTTCATCTATTTTTAACTCCCTGTAATAAGTGTCCGACGAGAGTGTTTATAAGATCCTATAGCGACATTGATTTATTGTTTCCGAGTAAGATTGTTAGTCATTAATGAAACTTAGTTAAGGATGGTAACGGATAAGCATCCTAGCGACATATAGTCTCAGATTATCTTGCTAGTGCAAGCATAGCTTTATACGCCTACGTTTTCATAGTTATCTAATCATTGCTTCATGTAAACGTAATTCTAGGTCTTTGAGTGTCCATTCTCTGTGTATCAATGTGTGCTCTCAGTCCCACCCTTGATAATTTTATATGTTGTTCCTTTTGATATTGATAACTACAAAGCATTTGTTGAATGTTGTTGATTAGAAAATCATGATAGTTTATCCGACTGTAATGTTCAAGCAGTCCATGGGTTGTGCAATTTGATTGTGCTTATTAATGTCTTTTTCTGATAATATGTGACTACGCAATTGGACCTGTACCAATTAATCCAAACCTTCGATTCCTGCCGTTAGCATCCTTATATGCAGATATGTATTTGCCAGAAGACTATTCTTGTGTCTATAGTCTTATTGTTACAGGCAGCTGTCTGAGCTGCAGGTGGCACATCGTTCTATGTATTGATATTTCTATAATTGGTATGGTATTCGTCACTTCTTGTTCGTGAATTACCAGTCTTTTTAAGTGTTGTAGATGATGGCCGTACCCCATTCTAAAGGGCGGAGAGTCAAGCACCCCCGCTGTCGTCTGGTCCACGCCAAATCCTTGTTCTGGCTCCTTACTACACGCTTGCTGTCGAGGTTACACGCTGTCCTATGACCTCTGCTGCTAAACACAGACCGCTAGCCACAGAGAGTTATCTATATCTGTCAGCACCCCGACGTCTACATCTACAGGTGCTCATGACGACCGCATATACACTGTAACTCTGTCGGCATACAACAACTTTAGAGAGCGACCAGTCAACACTCAAGCAGTGTTAAGAAAAGTCGACCTCTCGCTTTGCCACTCCAGCCGAGGACCTGACTGTGTGCATAGACCGCGTGTTTTCAAGGATTCAAGAACGTTGGACAGCGTATCGCCAATTGACTTTTCGAAACAAAAAAGGAGCCAGTGAATTCGATTTGGACCAGCGACAAATGAACTTTCGTGAATGGTGGTGCCTTATCGTGGCCATGTGCAGTGACATTTGACTTTTATGCATCCCTATTAATTAATTCTACATGGTATTTGAATAATATTTCATGGTGTTTATGCTTTGTGGTTATACGAAATAACACAGGATCATTAACTTATTCTTTGCCAGGTAAATACATTTTTAACTGTAAAAGTATTCGTTGTTTTCGAAATTGTTATAACATTTGAAAATTGATTACAATTTTATATATATAATGATCGATCCTGTTTTACTTCCATTATGTTTATTGTGATTGTATTTTATATCTCAGACCGGAACTCGTGCTTAGATCGTCCGAGCTGTGGGCAGCTCTTGTCCACAGGCGGAGGATGTTATAAGGTTAAAAATGCATCTCAGAAACGAATGATGATAAATAGAACCCATTAGATATAGTTCGTGACAGAACTTGTAATTGGAAAGGAATCAATAGAGAAAGACATTTCACATTTATCATTGGATTGGTCTCTGGCTATTATCTATGAGTTAATGAAACAAATGGGGAATTACAAGGTATAATCCATTTGGAGCTTCGGAGCGAGTCACGAAATCAATAGAGAGATGAGCAATCTGGCACATAGGTTTTTGGTATTTTTCCGATGGTGACACACATGAGTTCATGGTCAGATATAAACTTGTAACGAATCAAATGGAGATATTGAGATATGTGACAAGGACAGGTCAGGCTCGAACAGTATAAAATGATACCCTCAACATTAGGAGAGTGGTGCGCGGTTTACAGTAGATCGAGTCGAATCCCGATCGTTCTAAGTTTCCACCAGCTAGTGACGAGCCTGGCCTGTCTGATCCTGTCCTGTATTGTTAGATTGGCTGAGAGTAAGTAAAACTATGTGAGTATAAAACTGGTGTTGCGTTTCTTTATTATGCGGGTGTGAATGCTGATAGAGACAACTTGGAGTAAGGGTCATTAGGCCAATCACTCCTTGACGGAGCCGAGCCATGGTGGACAAGGCGAGGGCAATGTCCTGGCTTAATTGACCACAAGGACCAGGAACGGCAATACATTTAGTAACTGTAGCAGGGTCGCGCTGGACCCCCGAAGCCAGTTACGACAGCTCTATCCTACCGAGAAACCCACCCATTATATGATAAATACGATTTATCATCCAAAACTGGCTCTCACAGGATATATCCCCTTTGAGAGGTATTACACTTCTTACTAATGTGCCAGTGTTCTATCATAATTTGTTATATGCCATTCGTAATGACAGGGTTATGACAGTACATTCCTCGTAAAATGCATTCTCAAAATCATAAAACAATATCTGGATTATGAACAGGATCGGCCCAACTTTATAAAAATCATAGATCTTAGTATATAGACATGTGACTATGCCTCAGTCTCACATAAGGGTTTGGTGAAACTATTCCAGTACAGTAGTCTGTGTTTCGGTTAAGGATGCATATCGTACATAAATCACTACGTAGAGTGCACTATTTGAACGAGTGTATATCTTGCTTCAATCACTGACAACAGAGATGGGGAAAAGTCAAGACCATGTTAGATGTCCCCAAACACGTCATATATCTCTTCGTCAAAACTACTGTTCATCCCGATTTCACTAAACTAATCAAGTCACATGATCATCGTTTTCAGTGATTAGTGTTGACAGACTATTGTGTTTGGCGACCCCCTCCGTGGTGAAGTGGACAGAGCGTCTCCCCTGGGAGTGGAAGGTTGGTCAAAACAAAGACGTTACAGCCCACCTCGTCTCTTAAGTTTGATGCTTCTAATTAATATTATTGTACCTTGCAATCCACATGACATCCCTTTCGATTTTGCAGTTTTCACTTGCGGTTATGCCGAACATTGAAATTTGACAATTCAATATAACAGGAATTCTAGCCACGTTACAGTGTTGACCAGTAGAGATTCCAGGTTAAAATATATCCTCAGATTATTCTTGTTGCAGGAGCCGATTGGTGAAGACGACGTGGTTACAAGGTGTGACTTGACCCATTTTTTTTTATATCGTATACCGACGACATGGTTTCAACGTGTGACGTGGCAAATCGAGAGACATCGTATACTGATGACATGGTTTTAACACGTGACTTGGCAGATCATGAGACAACGTATACCAACGACATGGTTTTAACGCATGACTTGGCAGATCGTGAGACATTGTATACTGACGATATGGTTTTAACGTGTGACTTGGCAGATCGTGAGTCATCGTATACCGCCGTCATGGTTTTAATGTGTGACTTGGCAGATTGTGAGACATCATACACCAAAGTGTTTTGCAAAGAAGGGAGATTTTATTAAAGAAAGAAATTTAAGACACTCTCACAATTGTTGGCTTTCTGTATTAGGCTTAGCATTTTTTTACCAGCCCTCATATGTACGTTAAGAAGATATATTTTCAATGTGTATCAACTAATGACAAAAGTAACAACCTGTCAAATATAACCACAGAGTGTCTTTATTCTTACAAGGATTTGCTGTACATGATTTCCAAACTTTACAGGCTAGCTCTGCACGAGACAAAGGATGCATCTCGAGTGAAGGATCTATGACTTCACATCTGTTCACACAACATACAAGTTCAACTGATCTAATATGTCTTGAATATAAGTCTTCATATAGTGACCAACAGGTTTCTTTTTGCGCTGTGTATATATAATGTGTAAGAGTGGGATGTTTTGAATACATTACAACAGACAATGTTGCAATGGGCCCTGAATTATTAACAAAGAACAGTGAAGCTATAATCATGGTAAAACATTTATAACTAATTTTCCTATAATAATTAGATCCTAATCAAGTAATTTTATGAGTTATCATGGTGTAATATTTATACATCATTTCATATATTATAGTTTAGCAAGTAATACTTATCATCAGGTATAATGCATATATAAAATATCAGTAGTTTCAGTTATAGCTTTTCAGATAGATGCTAGCCTAAGGTAATGGGAGCGCACCTCCTAGACATACTGTTCAATAAAACAAGAGTTACGTCTACATAGTTTAATTGATTTGAAGCTTTTAGATAAATGCTAGCCTAAGGTATCAATATACCATCTCCCAGACAAAGGATATGTCTACATAGTCTTATAGATTACCTTGAACTATTTTATTTAAGTATATCTGTCATCACCTACAGGGTATATTAGAATAACATTCAGCAATTACTTCAATTAAGACTCATTAAGGATTAGCCCACATACAAGCTCGTCTATAGTGCATTCGGGATTAGCCCCCATACAAGCTCGTCTATAGGGCATTAAGGATTAACCCCATACAAGCTCGTCAGTGTACATTAAGGATTAGCCTCAACACAAGCTCATCTATAGTGACACCATAATCTCTTTCAAAGTATCCAGTTAATATGTCAACAAGATTAGTGCCAGTCCAACAGGATTAACAGGATTTAGTATTCCCCTCTGTCTAGCCATCCATTTAGCATAGGGCACAACCAATCGTGTATCGACCAATCCTATTCCTTTTTATTGTTCAATTTTTTTTTAAATACATACAGTAACCTCTTGTTAGGCAGAAAAGGGGTTTGACTCTCTTACAAAGCAGACCTCTCTCCTACAGCCCAGAGTGTTGTACCGACTCTCTGTGGCACCCTCAGTTATTTTTCCAAGATAACTGTAACTTGCTCATTGTTAATCGTTCTTGTAAATAAAATTGTAATTAGTCTCCTGTGACTCCGGCTCTTTGCTGACTAATTCCCCCAAGAAAAAACAGCACGCCATTTGGAAGGTATTGTTCACCCCGAACAGGTCCATAATACTATTATGTCCTACCGTTTGGGATGTAAATGTATTAGAATTACTATAGCAATTGCAGAAATATAGAGTACATGGACCCTCTATTACGCCTGTTACTATGTTGTGTATTTTAAACCAGGAAATACATCAATCAGGATGTAACCACATCACAAATGAATATGAGAAAATGCTCTTCACACTCAAAGTGAAATAATAGTGTTACGAAAACTAAATTCTCGAAAACATAAAACTAGAGTGTGTTTTTTTTTATGCGGATGCTTCAAGCTATTGTAGGTGTATCATTACAGGCTGTTTGCTGAGGATTACAAGAATATATGAGGATTGGCATAACATACATCACAGTGTATGTAATTCAGAAATGTTTTAAAATGTGCAGACAATACATTATCAATAACTACTACATACAATATTCTGACATTAATGTATAATTACGAAATTTATCGCAGGTAGGTACCCTGGTCATAAAGTCCAATAGTTGCTTGGCCAAATGGTTGCTGCTGATGGTGTTCTGATCGACGGGTTCTGTGAGGAAGACAACATGGTGAATTGTATTATCTTTAGTAGAACAGCGTCTCATAAAGACCTTGGGAACGGTGGGGTAGCCTAAGTTGGTAGACTCGTGAGTGAGTGAGTTAAAATTTAGCGCCACAGATTAGTTTACTAAAACCCATGTTTATTGGTGTTCTTTTTTTTAAAATTCTTACGTCTCTGTTAACGTATGTTCTCAATCAGCGTCTACTTACCTCACTGTTAACGTATGTTCTCTATCAACGTCTACTTACCTCTCTGTTAACGTATATTCTCAATCAGCGCCACTTACCTCTCTGCTAACATATGTTCTCAATCAGCGTCTACTTACCTCTCTGTTAACGTATGTTCTCAATCAGCGTCTACTTACCTCTCTGTTAACGTATGTTCTCAATCAGCGTCTACTTACCTCACTGTTAACGTATGTTCTAAATCAGTGTCTACTTACTTCACTCTTAACGTATGTTCTCAAGCAGCGTCTACTTACCTCTCTGTTAACGTATTTTCTCAATCAGCGTCTACTATCTCTCGGTTGCCATATGTTCTCAATCATCGTCCACCTACCTCTCTGTTAACGTATGTTCTAAATCAGTGTCTACTTACTTCACTGTTAACGTATGTTCTCAATCAGCGTCTACTTACCTCTCTGTTAACGTATGTTCTAAATCAGCGTCTGCTATCTCTCGGTTGCCGTATGTTCTCAATCAGCGTCTACTTACCTCTCTGTTAACGTATGTTCTAAATCAGCGTCTAGTATTTCTCTGTTAACATATTTTCTCAATAAGTGGTGTTTTTTTTGTGATTTGACATTAAACGTCTGTAGTACGACTTCCAGTGATCATGTAAATGAGGTTGGGTGGAGCATTGTTTTTATTGGATCCTAATTACTTTATGATGGTTGGGTCACTTTGTCTCATCTCCATTGCTGTGACGCTGGGAAAGGACAGTATTGAATTAATGAGAGTAGGTTATATCATGGAGGATACATTCTGGGGAGAGGGTTCTACTAATTACCGTACCACAGAAAGAAACCTGTAAACGATGGCCTTTGCACAATGGCCGCCAGGAGAGGTAAACATTGTGCTAAAGCAGTGGATGTTTTTACGGGCTTGTTGAATAAATTCCCAGCGCTACTGTCAATATATTGTCTACTTCATCTTTGATCATCATTTTGGCATTTACAATACCTATTTTTTCAATGTACATTAATAGTTTACTAGTCATATGTTTAAGAGTATTTGTCAATTGTGTTGAGCTTACAGGAAATAAATTTAATTCATGATAAATATGAAACGTCTCATGTAAAACATGACGTAAGTACGATAGTAAATAATAATATTCAAACTGCATTACAATTCAATGATAACAAGATACATATGTATCCCTACAGCCTGTACCCCACATTCAGAGCCAGGAGGAACACTAATTAAATAAAGGGAAAACTTTGCCCTTACATATATGCAGAGACATCATCTGAATATGACTATATGTGTAAATGCTA